GTGGTAGGTGGAAAGAGGGGCTTAACCCCAGTGTACATAGATGTCGTTAGTGTTGCCGGTGGTGAAGCAACAACAGAAAAAAAAACAAAAAATTGGCAATATCACTTACCGTTGTGTGTGTGTGTGTTGGATCCACTGTCACACATCCTAATGCAACATTGCATATTTGCTGGAATTTTCAGTGTTGAGTTGTGTTGTCATGTTTATGTTGAACCACTGCTTGAACGTCGACAGCAACTGAGCTTTGCTCTCCATACGACAGAGAGGACAGAGCAGGAAGCTTTGGTGGGCCCGCACATGTTTGTGTTTGCTGCCAGCAGCCGTGGTTTTTGGTTTGGTGTCCGCCATATGTTTGTTGTTATTCTTCGAGCGATTTGTTCCTTTTTGGCAATTTGTTGGACGATAGTTTGGTCAAACGAACACACACACACGTACGTCACACAACATTCTCATATACCGCGTGTTGTTGTAAATGGCCCATATAACCATGGTTTCTATTGAAGAAGAAGAAGCAGACCATCGCTACCTTACCTTGTGTTCACACACCGCTGTTGTTGAGTGTAATTCCTCCTCCGTGTGTCTATCTGTCCGTCTGACTTTCGTTCGTTCTCGTTGCTGCTATCTCTGTGTAAATGCGTCGTTGTGCTGCAGCTCAATACCGGCATCAACAGCAAAATATATCTTTGCATTTGTGTGAGTTTAGTTTCGGCTTTCTTTGGCAGTGTGTGTATGTTCGTGCGTGCGTGTGTGTGTTGGTATCTGTGTTTGTTTCACACTACTTTTGTGGTGCTGCCTTCAAACTTTTGGTAACTCTCCTACCTCAGTGTTCAAATACGTTCCTAACCGTGAGCAACCAAAGAATTTGTTTCGTTTCGTTTTTGTTTTTCTGTTCTCTGTTTAACACCTCTTCTGTTGTGTTGTGTTCATTCATCATCATCTGCTGAGTGTGCAAACGGCTAACGGCTATCCATCCGAACCAAAACCAATTCAACCTACCTCCATTCAGCGCCACAGCCAGTTCGGTGTTGGAAATCATTCTGTTTTCGTCTTCTCATCATCAACAACATCATCATCGTCGTCATTATCATTCTCCGCCCGATGTGACAACACTCGAATCGCGCCGCCACACAGGAAAGCCGCCAAAATTTGTCTAACAAAAAAAAAAAAAAAAAAAATAATAAAACGGGAAAATTGTTTAACAAAATATCGTTTTAATTTTTCTTCAAATTTAACAAAATTTTGCAAATATTGTGTGTCACTCTGAAACCGAAAACACATGAAAGCTTATTTGGAAATTGTGTAAAACAAATTGAAGTTGCCAAGTGTAAAGATATGTCCAATAAATAAATATCTTTAAACAAAAAAGTCAAATATACCTATGTGTGAAAAAAAATGTTGAAAACCCCAAAAAGCTGACATCATAACTTTTTCAAAAAACAAAAAAAAAAACACTTTAAAATCTACTGCTCTTCTTTTCGGAACCCAACAAGAAAACTGTTTTCGTTAAAAAATACCAAACTTCTGTGGAATTATTAACAAACAAAAAAAAAATTAACTATCACCGAAAATTATACAAAATATTTGCCCTAAAAACATAGATTTTCACTTTAGTGTGTGAGAGTTCTGTTGTTGTTGTTGCCTGGATTCCAATACAACAAAATATAATTTAAAGAATTAATTAAAGAAACAAAAAAAAAAGAATTAACTAAAAATTTACCAACACACAGTGAAAAAAAAATAAAAATTTCATTTCGAAAAAAAATCACAAATTTGTTGGTATCTTTCGTTCTCTCCCGCAGTTGGTGTTGTTATTTGAACACAAATGTATGTATTCCTTGTTTTAGTATTTTTCTTTGTTGATGTTGTTGTTGTCTAATATATAATTTGTTATTGTTTTTTTTTTGTTTCTTTCTATTTTATTTTGTTCTCTTTTATTTGTTGTTGTTGTTTTTATATAAATATACAAAACTTCAAATGTTTTGTTTGTATGTATGTGTGTATACTCTATTTACTCGCTGATGCCGTTGTTGTTGTTGCTAGATTACAGCAAGCGACAAAAGTGTGCAACAATGTAAAAGGGGATTTCTTTAAACAACAAAATCTCTTGAGAATGTGAGCTCTGAGAGGCCTTAAAATCTCGATGTAAATCCTTCTTCCGCATCTTTTTCTAAAAATTTCTCAATATGCATAGATATATTTATATCACAAGGTTATATCACAAAACAAATAGATCAATTATGGAGATTATATATGTAATGGGGTCCCATACGTCTCATCGAAATAAATGGGTTATCAGGAATTTTTCCTATACTTATTTCAATAATCGGACTTCAAACGTATGCAATAAACCAATAGTCTATAGTCCGAAATTATAGAACGGTTTTCACTGGCCATCAACTCTCCTCGCTCTATTTGATTTATATGGGATCAATCGGTCATTGACATCTACTTGTTACATATTTCAACTGATTTTCAGTAAAATATCTTTCAAGATATTGATATCCAAAACCGAAAGTCTTACTTCCCGACAGTATTATATTTTTCTTTTTTTTCTATCAATCCCCTCAAATGAAGTTATTTACAAAGACAATGTCAGGATTGCAGATTCACAGAACAGAGTACTGAGCGTTTTTTGACTCGAGGTAGACATTTTAAACACGGACTCCTATGATGCTGAAAACCCCTCTAATCTTCTTACAGTTTCGTTCATTATTAGAACCAGATCTTAATTAAAAAAAAAAAAATCTGCTGTAAACCTACGCAAAATCTCATTGTTCCCATTGCCAATGTATACGATTTAAATATTAATCCCAAAAAGGTATTTTTTTGGCCTCCAGGTTAGATAATTCCATAATCCAGCTGTGGCAAAAACGTTTGACACTTTTTATAGAAATAAAGGAGGCTTGGTTGATGTGGGTTAGTTTCTTATTGTCGCATACGACACGAGGGATTTATCCATCTTGTTAGGTTTTGAAATGCATCACGCTGTACTTCTAAGACAGCTACAGTAGTTCAGATCCTGAGGCGTATTTTGGTACTCTGATAGATGTAAATTCACAAAATGGTTTCATTTTGAAATTCAAAATTTTGGTACAAATCTATCCCGATCCATATATCCCAGCTCCTTTTATCTCCCCAAAGACCATCGATATACAAGGTTGTATGATTCCCATGGGCTTTTCTACTGCATTTTGTGTTGTTCTTCCACCCCACAAATCCTTCTGAATGGTCCACAGCTAGACCAAAACGGTCCCCGTTTTCAATATGTATTAGAAGTGTATTGTCATGGTTCAGTCTTAAGCTTGACTGACGGAATTTTTGTCCCCCTTAAAGCGCCACAACACTTTTGACCCACACTGTGTTTCATTTGTTCCACATTACCAAAACACATCTCGCATAGAACCTAGTGAAGGCTCTCGCGACGAATTTTCTGTGATTCGTCGTCGTCGTTGTCGCTACTTGTACAATGTGTTGCGGTGGCTCCAGCTGTTCATGGCATTGTTGGTGTTGTTGTCATTGATTATGATTGCCATATAGATTGTTGTCAGTCACTCATATTCTCTGAAATAAACATTGAGAATTGTAAGGAACTCTCTATATTTTTTTTTTTTTTTGGAATTCACACCGTTTTTTACAAGCAGCTAGCCAGCCATTCATTCCATTAGGCAGCCGGTTGGTTGGTTAGTTGGTGGGTCAGGCGGCAACTGCCAGTCTTCTTGCTCTTAATGACTTCATTTCATTCGTTGTTTTGTACTTTTGTTTTCTTCTTCCTCCACACTTCTGTTCCACCTCATCCTCTTTCGTCGATGTTTTCAGCATTTTCTATTGTTTAGGTTTTTTATTATTCTATCGTCTGTCTATACACCTCATTCTTTACTTTGGTTTAGCGGAGTATGAGAATTTGTGTGTGCGTGTGTGTGTTGTGTGTGCTGTTTCAGTACTGTTTGTCTTTTCAAATGCCAACATATCACATTTTTTCTTTATTTTTTTAGTTTTTTTTTTCGAAAGAGTATTCATTTTTGCGTTGCCTTGCTTCCTATATTTCTTCTTCCTTCTCCGAAGACACAGTTTAGTTGTTTGCATTTTCTTAATAAATGTTGTTGCTCTGGCCGTTTTCCATTACTATGCTCCACGACTATGACTTTACACCTCATGTAAGACAAACCTAGGACGACGACGGTGGGGGGTGGTGTGGTGTAGGAAGATAAGTTCAAAGTTTCATTGAAAATCTTTTGTGAGAGAGGGAGAAACTGTATTGCGGAAGTTATGAACTTCATTCATTCATCGAATGAATGAATGAAAGAGAAACGATGACATACTTTCAGTTCGTTTACAGTGGACCATTTGAAATGGAATAGAATGGAATGATACAGGGTGATCCCAAAGTGAATAAGGAAATGTGAGGAGATTTTCTATAAATTGATTTTTTTTCATAATTCGTAATTTTCTTTTAGTTATTAAGTTGGCAGAATGTGAAAATCGATTGCAAATTCTTCAAATTCCCAGATAATTTCCAAAAAATGCGTTCTTCCACAAACATTGTTCAAAACAATCAAATCTAAAGTGTTTTGTTTATGACATCCTAATGAGCGTTTTCTTAATTTATTCTTTAGTGTATCCTTTATTTATCTTAAGTTGTTTATATTGTTTATTATTATTTGCCTACATTATTGATTTTTTTTATTATTTTCATATTTATCGTTTTTTTTCTTTTCATTTTAGGTTGGCATAAAAAACAAAAATAAAAAAGAAAATTTACAAAAAGAAAAGAAACTAAAAAAGCCAGTCTAATCATTCACTCACCCAAAAATTAAACAAAGAATTCAAAATTCAAATTGATTTGAAAGTGGCCCAAATAACAAATTTTTAAATCAACGGCGCTTCTTTTCGATTGAAAACAACGCAAGAGTAAAACCAAATCCAAATCAAAAAACAAATTCAAACATTCCGAAAAGGACATAAATTTTGGCTAATTTGAAAGAACACTACAAAACCGAAACCAAAACAAATCAAACAGAAAAAATGGCTTCCGAATTGGATCAGTTTGCCGACTTGGAACTATCAAAAGAGGATCGTGAGCAAATTTTCGATCCACCTTTAGATCGACAGCAAATGGAAGGTGCTGGCACCTCAAGGTACTTGATTTGACATTTTCCCCATCTTAGATTCTAGTTTTTTTTTTTTTTTTTTGTTTTGATAACCTGCCTACAGCAGTATTATGCTTTATGGTTGTGGGTGGCCAAGAGAATGTTTTCCGTACACCCGTTCCTGGCCAGCTACTAACTAGCTAGTATTTTCCGCAGTTAGGCTTTAACATTTCAACTATAATCAGTAGCTTTTGTAGTGTGACCATGTATTTGGTTTCTTTTGTATCGCATTCTTTTTTCCCTGCTTAGTGAATTGCCTCTGTTGCCTTCCTTAATCTATTTGCCTATCTCAATTATCTTATGATGTTCGTTGTTTCTAAATTTAAGTCCAGTTGAGTTATTGTTGGGTTTTATGGTTTAATGAGGTCAATTAAAACCCATCGTCATTTCTATTTGTGCTTATCACGCCTTACAGCTTGTCAAGGAAGAATTGTCGAACGTAAAGTGTCTACGCTGCGATGACATACAAGCGGCTTGGCTTGGCTCGGCTCTCAGGCGGTGGTAGTCTGAAAAAAATTTCGCCAGCAAAAAGTTGTCATTTGATTCGTCCTGCAGTAAACGCACACAGCCTCATACCACTGTGCTGTTGTTGCTGTGTTGTCAGTTGTTGCTTGTTCCAGTTCCAGTTTGGCTTCGAAGGAACCCCCTCGAATGACCATAAAACAAACTCCATTAGTAGGAAGAAGCAACCTTTTTGTATTTCTTTTTGTTTCTGGTCGATTCACATGCAAATGAAATCACTTTCGCACGTTCTAATCATTCCATTTCTGCTTTGACCAACAAATTCGTTAGGAACAGCGAGATGTGTGTATGCATATCCTTTTTAAGTTCGTTCGTTCTTGTTTTTTGTAGCTGCTAGTGAATGAGATTTTGAAATACGGCAACGGCAACAAATTTCAAGTGTTGTAAACAGCAATTTCGGATCTTTGTTTTTGTTTTTTTTTGTCATTGTTGCTGGTTGCTTAGAAGAATATGACACACAAATAATAAACATTGTTAAAATGTATTTATTTTGTAGACATTTTTGTTGTTGTTATTGCTGGCCAAGCAAATGTTATATTTTCTTAGCTTGAGGGCTCGTTAAAGATTCACCCTATTTCGGTGGAAAAATGAAACCCCAAAATACCCCAAAAACAACAAAGGCCATGACATGTTTGATGTGTGTGTTTTCTTAAGAATCAAAATCCAGCAAAGACATCCTGCAGCGTGCAATAAATATTTACTAATTTGTGTGTGAGGTCCAGAGTTGACCCTTCAAACAAATTCATATTTGCAGATGCATAAATAGTTCAGGTTGTTGCTACCAATTAAGGTGTTTTCTCTTCGGAGATTTTAGTGATTTTCGAATATTACCTCTAGACCACTTAGACCACAAAATAGTACGATAATGATTAAACACGAATTCTCTTTTTTCTGTTTTCATCATTCGTTTTTGATGAGGATATCTCTCACACACTTACTCTCAATTTAGTTCTGTTCAACACTGTTCTAGACATAAAAATTTGACTAATATCGGGATATTATTGTATGTCAACGATCCCTACTACGGACATATTTCTCCTAACTCGACAAAGCTGGGTAGGAACGGGCGAAGGGGACTCAAAAGGTTCCTTTTTATGTTTGAAATCTTCAAAATTTCCGAAACTTATTTGAAGTAGGGAATATACATATTTATGTTGAAAAATAAAAATAAACATACAGTTGCGAAAAATAAAAGAGCACCAGCAAGTAACATATTAATTTTGTTAATATGGTCAGTGGTCACTGATCAGACGACCACCGAATGCAGAACTTTAAAAAGGTCGATAGGCCTTTCTAAGTATTGCTTGTAAGGGTGGTGCTGTATATATTCTTCGACCTAAACTCAGTTCATTTATCTAAATCAACATCACCTAGGAAGCATAAACTCCCAACAATAAACTTGGAAATATGTTATTTCAATTGAATTTCTTTAATTTTGGCACTGCCACCATCAAATCGTTGACAGACAAATTAAAATACCTGTCAGAATTGCATCAGACACAAAATCAAAAAAAAAGTACAATAACAATAACAAAATTAAATGCGATGCAAAATGCAAATGCATTTTTAATTTAGTCATGGTAACCCCTAAATTATGCCTATTAGCACCTCATCAAAAACCCATAAACAATGTCAATGCGATACAAGTCCAAACATGCATCCATCCGACCATCAATCAAGCATGAATCTACCTTTCCTGCTGTCATCCGAATTGTATCCAAAGGCAAACAAAAGCTTTGCTGATGAGCGGCATTAAAACGACCAAAATTATACAGCAGCAGGAGCAGCCAGCATCAAAACAAATCCTGACAATTTGAATGTCAATCAAACTGAAATCTACAACAAATACAACTAATTTATGTTACATAATCGATGTGATTCCAAAATGACACACAAACACATCTACATGAGAGGTAGGTACCTCTCCGTCAGCCTCTTCTTCCTTCACATCCTTAAAAAAGAAGAACACAATAAAATACGATGCATATCTGCTGATAAGCTGTTGCGGAAAGCAAATCTCCAAGATTGCGAATCTCATTTTGGTAAACCCTAAAAATTCACACAACAGCATTCACGGCAGAGATACAGATCTACTGGAAAAGGTTAAAGGTTCTCATCTGTGTGTTGTGGAAACCCCATATTTCCCTTCCACCCCACTCATTCACTAATTCACTCACCCAGCCTGCCTGCCTGACTGGCTGACTGACTGTCTCCCCATCAGCTTAACAAGCTTTAGGAAAAGACAAGGACAACCAAGAAAGAACAAGATTGCAGAAGGGCTGTTATTTGTACTTCGTGTGGTAGCTGAGCTTGCCTCATTGTTTCCAATTTAGTTCTTTTTTGTATTTTTTGGCAATTCTAAGGAATCGACAGACACACGAACGCGAACCAACACCATGGAAAATTTCACGGAAATCTCACAAAGCACGTGAAGGAATTGATACATTAGTGTTGTTCGTATCTGCCCGAAGCCACTGAATATTCATAAAGTCCTTGTTCCTGATCCTTGTGTGTGATCCTTGCACAAATTAGTTGCTAACGATGTGGTAGCACTCACACACACGCACCCATTTGCACATCAAGTGAGGCCGGTGCATGCAGCATGTGTCGTCTTCATGTTCACAAAAATCCAACTCAAAAGCAACTCCAAAGCCAATAGCAAAAACAAAATTGGGAAATTTGTAATTAAAGCAAGGAGGGGAATCACACCAACGGAAGGGGAGAAACTAGTTTCCTCGGCCTCGGGGCTATTCCTCAGTGTCGCCAAGTGTTGTTTCCCTTTCAGGGGTTCTCTCACACTCACAACTCCCTCCCTTAAAAATCTAATCGCCATGGCTGCTTAGAAATTTCTTAGATTTTTATCGCCAATATGTGATGTATGGCCATGAGCATTCATCTTTTCCTGCCATCAACGAAACAAAAAGAAAAAATCCACCCAAAAAATACGATCACACCCCTTTTAGAGGAAACTATCTTGTCTTTTGTTGTCTTACGGAATCTGGAGAATAGGGATTTGTTTGGCTGGTAGCAAGCAACAACTACAGAAACATGTTTAGGATTAGCTCCGAGTTTTGACAAGATAACATTGCCAGCAATGTGTCCATGTATATGTGAGTGTGCATTTTTTGCCAAGGACTTTATCCTTTTCAGCACATGACAATCGTGCAACATTCGTCAAAGTGAAATTCTCACTGGCAATCTAATCAAGGTAATGACGCCGAAGAAGATGCTAGATTAAGAAGAGTATGAGTAAAATCTGGAAAGAACTATGATGTAGCCGGAAGGAGGAAAAAAGGAAGTGGGTTTCTGATTAAAAACAAATAAAATAAATATTCAAAGCTTGTGAAAAATATAAGAGAAGAATATTTTGAATTCTTAAATAAGTTTGGGAAATAACTATTGTCAATTTCTTTACACTGCTCATACTAGCTTTGATAGCCTTAGAAAAAAAATTATTATGAACAATATCTTTGCTTAATATCTGTTCTGGGAGAAATTCAAACCATATTAAATTAAAGTATATAGCTCGGACAGACGAAGATAAAATTATCCGAATAGCTCGGAGGGACTACTATTAGGACATTATTGAAAATATAACCGGTAGTCCTCCAAAAATAACTATCAAATATTCACGAAGTTTTAACTATTAAAAGTCTAATAGAAGTAGGAAACAGAGATCTAATAGGCTTACAATATACCTTGAAAAATTATAATCAATCTCCAGATGGACTTCAAAATATTCCTCATTATTCCACCTCTTAACACCTCTCTCCACATCTAATTCAACAAATGAATAATCTTTAATCTATTTTTTGGAGTAACTGATGTCCAGTATCAAATATGTTTATAGAAAGCTTCTAATTCTAGTGGCATAGCTGCGAAATGCTGTTTACACTAGAATGACATTAATGCCTTTAGTTGCCGCATTGTGCTTCGTCAAATATGTTTCATTGGCCCAGTTGGCATTCGGTGTTCTGGCTTATTTTATTTTATTGGACATAAGAACCGAACAACCGCGTGTAAGCAACAATTCAATTGTTGTTTATTTCATAACCAGGTTAAAACGACTACATGCACACATACCAACCAAGCTATGTAAACCAAACAAACAAGCAAACAACTAACCACTCATTCATACATACCGACAGTCAGACCGACTGGCTGGCTGGCTGGCTGTTTAAAATGTTGTAGGAAGGTAGAGGAGAGACACGGCCAGACACAATATTTTCACAGACGGGTCAATGGACTGACTTGCTTGCTGGCTCAATTCAACACCCGAATGCTCAACGTCCGACGACAACACATTTGTCGGCCAAGAACTTCATTTCCATTTTGGCTGTTGCTCGGCAGCAGAATGTTGCTGCTTCTGTTGCGGCTGTTGTGTTGCCAAATGATGATCTTGGCCCAAAGATAGTACAAGTGTTCTAATTTGTAACTCTGGTTCGGTTTCTTTACATGCACTCGGG